CTCTCTTCCAGTTTCAATGACCTATAAAGTGGTTTGTCAAACTGAGTGAGGGGGCGGAAAAATGATATTATGTAAACATGCACATGAAAATAATTAAGATGAACAAGGAAACAACAGTAACAATGGAGCACATTGGCCAGGAGAGGTCCAAAATTGGGTGCCATTTACTCTTCCAAAGCAAGGGGTAGAACAGATGGTTCAATTACTCTTAGGGGAAAAAGTCAAAACATTAAGTCACAAAAGAAGTGCTGATTAGTTGATGGTAGTCTATAGACCAAAGCCACAAAAGAACATGCTTCACTACTTAATGCTAGATTAGGAATGCAAGAATTTTGGCACTGGTGCCAGGGAGAAAGCAAGGCTACTTCAATTGCGCCTCAGTGGACCACTGAACCAACACGTTCAAAAAGTGTAAGAAACTGGCAAAAGAAACCTTCTCAAATGTGGAGATTACTGCCTATTCCCCTGGACTTTTAATAATAGATGAAGAGGCCACAGAGAAGGAGACCCCTAAAACCGCCACAGCCATGAAAGAGGAAGCAATGGGAGAGGCAAACAAAAGGTGGAAAAAAAAAAAAAAAAAAAAAACAAAAAAAAAAAAAACAACAAAAAAAAAAAAAAGGAGGAAAAAAAAAAAAAAAAAAAAAAAAATGGAAAAAGATAGAAACAACACACAAGAGAAGAAAGGGGAGAGGGAAGGAAATCCACAGTGTGTTCGCACTTGCGCGGAGGGGCTGACAAGGGGAACACCTTCCCCATCGGCCCAAACACCCCCTAAACCATGTGGACAATACCTTACGAATAGACAGCCATGGTATACTGTTGTGCATGACCAGTTTTTGAACTGTGTACTGTGTGTCACCAAGAAGAGCCTCTGTCAATAAATCAGCTTGCTTATTGTAGATAGTAAACATTTTATTACCTTATTGTTTTAAATAAAACATAAACCATAACAAATGGTGGCCAGTTTTGAGTAAGCACTTTACAAAGAAAACTATCGATTAGTAAACTATTGATTAGTAATTAGACTTGGACTGCAAGTAACTACATGGTATGCAACATGATATAAAAATAATATACAAATTAAATGGCTGAGTCAATTCTGACCCAGATCGAACTATAGAAGAATGAAGCACTGATGAAATTTGAAGCGGTGAGTAAGTTTTTTAAGACAAATTTGGTAGTTTTTATCACAATGGAGAAATCTTCACAGATTACTAAGCTGGTTATGAAACATTTATGTTAGTAAACACAATACCAAAAGAAATGCAAGCTTACATTTTTCTTGCAAATTAATCAAGACATTCACAAATTTTTGTCAAGATATAAATTCATTATCAACGGAAAAGGTTTATTCACTGACGATGGACCAGTTTGACCCATCAAAATTTGTTATAAGGGAATGCTTTCAGTTTTGGTTAGATCCCAGTAGAAAGCCAGGGGAGACAATGAAAGAATTGGCAGAATGAATAAGACAAAAGGCAGCAACATGCCATTTTAGTGCAATAAAAAAACTCACTCCCTTAGATGAAGCAATGAGGACCAGGTTTATGAGCTCAGTAAAAAAATGAAGCAATTTAGAATCATGGACACAGAATTGACCTTTAATAAAGCAGTTGAAATAGTAATGGAAACAGAGGAGACAGTTAAAGGTGCAAAGGAAACAGTCCACCAAGAAATTCTTGTTAGTAAACTCCTAAAGAAATAACAAACAATATCATGCAGAACGGTTTTCTCAATCACAGTGAAATGATTTTCACCTGGAACTTGTAGCAGATGTGGGGGGGAAAAGGCATAAGGGAAATGTCTGCAGATTTAGAGACATGACATGCCACAAGAAAAAGCACCTTGAAAGAGTATGTCTAAGTAATAAATAGCAAACACCAAGTCAGAAACCAAGTTACCTTAAATGAATAAGAAGGCAAAAAGAGATCAAAACAATCCCACCAATAAATCAGGAAGTACTTGTGGAAGGAAAGAAATTTATATTTGAAAAAGACACAGGAGCTGGGGAAAATTTTATGTCAGAGACTGTATGGCAAAAGCTAGGACAAACAACATTGAGTCCAGTATTCATTAAGCATGAATCGGCTTCAGGTGACCAGCTTAATGTTCTATGAAGCATAGAAATAAAAACTGATACAAGAGAATCATCTTCAAGCATCATTTTTAATAGTAAAAGATCACAAATTAAACTTGCTGGGCAGAACCGCCATAAAAAAAATTATTAATATTTCAATAAAAAGTCTTTTTCAGAAACAGGTATCTCTATATAAGAAATCAAAACTCATTGAATAAAGCTGCAGTGAATTCCCTCAACCTTTTTGAACCAGGTTTTGGACTAATGAAAGACTCTGAGTTAGATATTAAATTCAAGGCTAATGCACAGCAAATTTATATGAAACCAAGAAATGTTGTAATTAAGGCAGAGCTAGAAGAAGCTTATAAAGCTGGAGTGTCTTCGGGAGTCTGGAAACCAGTACAGTGTCATCAGTGGGACACTTCTGAAGATCCCTTAAGAAAGAAAGCCATAACAGGGAAAGGATCACAAATTAGAGTTTGTGATGACTATAGAAAAACCCAGGTATCCAATGCCATTACCTGAAGACCTTATGAGAAAGTTTGCTAGTGGTTATTTCTCAAAAATAGACCTTGCTGATGCCTATAATCAGATCAACCTTTCAAAAGAAACACAAGAGAAATCAGCCTTAAGAACGCATAAAGGGGTATTGCTGCAGACGCGTCTACCATTTGGGATTACATCAGCACCAGCTTCTTTCCAGGAGATAATGGACAAACTTACACAAGATTTACCTGCAGTAACCATGTACATGGATGACATTCTAGTGAGCGGAAAGAATGAGAAGACCATGTAAGCAAGCTTCGCAAGCTGTTGCACAGGTTCAATAAAAATGGCTTAGAGGGCAGGTCTTAAAAATGCATTTTTGCCCAACAATCAATCAAACACTTGGGGCATAAAGTATTGAGCAATGTAATATCAAAAGGGGCAAAAGTAGATACAGTTATTGCCATACCAGCAATCAAAGATTATACAGTCTATGGCCAACAAGTTCTTACCAAACCTGTCAACAATACTTGTGCCACTGTATTATCTTTAAAAAATATATCATAGTGCTGGAAAAAAAACAAGACGAAGCCCAACCATCCCACCCAAGACCCTAAGACTTTAACATACCCCAAAGGTCTCAAAGACAACGTCAAGCACCCATTGTCCTGGACTTGTAATTATTCAAGAAGGTTTAAAGTAGACTATAGCTTACAGATGGACAACTGTGGTATACCATTGCGAATTACTGGTTTTAGGACTGAGCGCGCACTGTGCCAAGAAGAGCAGCTCTAAGAAATCAACTTGCTCTTTGTATACTGTACATATGTTGTTACCTTACTGTTTTAAATAAAAAAAACATAACAAAACCTTTCCCGTCAGCTCCATCTCCTAAACCATGAGGAACAAAAAAGAGACCACGTGAGGATCAGACCACCAGTGAAACCTTTTCCCTACGGACACTCCCGGGATCACTAACGAGGATGACAACGGAAAATTTTATTTATGACATAAACAGTCAGTTTAAAAATAGAAAATAGTTTACTTGCTCGCTATGTACATGTACACTCATATATAAATAAATACATATTTATATAAATCCCACAACATTTATTGATTAACGGTGAGGTGGGGACATTTTGAAGCTTCTACCTGTGCACAGCTTTCCTCAGCATGGTCCTGTTGGTTGCCTTAACTTAATGGTTGACAGTGAAGGCAAAGGATATTTGGGGGAAAATTGTTAATATTTCCAGCAGGCAATGTTAAATAATTGCTCGTTTGTTACATTTGTTGTAGAAAAAAAAAAATTGTTATTTTATTCTGCAATAACATGGGGTTTATGCGGGTTAAAAATGACATCTGTTAGTTACAAAATTATTGTTCATATGTTTTACTTTACATCAGCTGCATCCCGTGTCATGGTAAACAGGACATCTTTGTTGTTAACTGACTGACTTTTATCACTGAACCTGTAAGAAAATTTTCAAATACGATTTAAGAATGAACAAATATTCAGTGAAATATTATGGTTTAACATGGCAGATCAGGTAAAAGATGCAACAGATCAGATCACAACACACTCTATCCCAGCGTTTCCCAAAGGCTGGCTCGTGGCGCAATAACGGGCTACAAAAGCAAAATTACCAGGTCACCAAAAGAAGAAAAAAAAATGGTTTAAAATTTGGGTTAGATTATCATGACCTATTCATTAATAACTTATATTTAAGTTTGATTTCTTTACATTTTTTTATGAGTAAATGCTTTATTACAATAAATGAAAACTATGAAATTAATATCTGTTATATGTCACCTATAGGCCAGAATAAGTGATAAAAATGTTAGTGGGTCATGAAGGAAAAGTATAAAAATAATCAGATCATTAAAAAAAAAACAGTTTGGAAAATACTGCTCCATCCTATTTATCAATTTCTATGATTTTTGACACTAACAGTCTGCATCTCATTTAGAAGTATCATCAGACTGTGGTCTGTGGTACAGGAGTTATAAGAAATCTCTTGCTCCCCGACACTTCCATTGCATAGGTTTTAGCCATGTTTGCTTAAATTATGCCATTTAAGATATTTAAAAGAACAGTTCTGACTGAGATTTATTCTAATCACTCAAGTCAAAAGAGCCTTTAATTAAACCAGTTAAATTTAAATTAAAGCACCATTGCCAGGAAGCATGTTCATTTTCTTTCTTGTTTCGTCTTTAAAACATCTCTCTTATTCTTCAACCACAACACACCGATTTAATAGTAAGCCTACTCAGTAAGAGATTCCAACATCATTACAGGTAATATTTTGAACACTATAAGGGTGGCCTGAACATGATGGGTTGGTTATTAATTAATTTCTACATTATACTTTAGTTTTTAATAAAAAATAATATCTTACTCTCTTTCTCTCAATCTTTGGTTGACTGTCTGTAATATGATATCCTTGTGAACTACTTTCATGTGACGTATTAGTGTGGTTTCACATGCATACTTGCGATCACAATGACCACAAGTTAGCTGACTGCTTGGTTTATGCGCCCTTCGAATATGTCTACTCAGGTCACCTAAATACAGCAAAGACACTTGATAGAAACCAGCTTTCTGATCTCCACTTTCCCTTAGCAGACAATTAATGACTCAAATTTATTATGCGAATCTAATATTTGAGAATATTAAAAGAAAATATTATATTTGATGCAATTCTGCAAGAGTATTTAAGAAAAGCAAACAAATTATAGTAAAAACAATTCAATCAAAGTAATAGCAACAAAAAAAAAATTAAAATGAATATAACAGATGGTTTAAGGCATTTTAATATACTTAGTTAAGTTTAAATTTTCATATAAAATTTATGTTTAGTTTGTAGAAAAAAAACAAAAAATAAAGAAGGCTTTAACTTTAACCCAAGCGCCTTGAGGGATAACTAGAGCCATCACATGATTTTTGGAAGCCCCCTGCCACTTCTCAGTTTGGTGTCCCATGCATTCAAAGATAATAGGGTTTCATATTTTGCACCCCAAAAATTTGGGCCCCTTAAATATCCACGGCCCCCCCCCCCCCCCCCCCCCCCCCCCCCCTTTAAATATCCACGGCCCCCCCCCCCCTACAGTTGCAGGGGTTGAAGGGCCCACGCAGCAGCTCACAGGATAACATTCCGAAAGTTGGCTTTAACCTAAACCCCTTGATGGAATAACATTCTGAAAGTTATTAACCTTTGAAGTTGACCTAAAAAAAATGGCACAAACCTGTTTGGAAGAATTTTTTATCACACATTGTACACATGAATGCTTTGTCTTTGTTGTGGAATCTCATATGAACAACTAGATCACTGTGTCTTATGTAACCTTTTTTAAACAAAACAAAATTGAAATGATCTGTAATATAGAGCACTGACTTTAACATTTACAGTTAAAACTTTTAAAATAAAAAACATACCTAAGAATACTAAGATAGAAAAAATTTTTAGCAGTGAAAAAAACATTCTTTTTAAAACAAAGTTACAAAGGAAGGTACCATACTTTAAATGTTTAACGCTTATACTGTTAAGATAAGATTCTTTTATTTTTATTGATAAAAAAATATGGAACGTTTTTTTTAAATACAATGTACATAATGATTTTCAGCACATAGATGGATATTCTTACAAAGGCAAATATTTTTATAAACTAGAACAATTGAAAATTAAGCATCAAAAGTTTTTCTTAAGTACAAAAATCAGTTTTCATATCCCATGCAACTTCATTTAGTGACTATATTGACTTTAAGAGGGATTATTTAGATTTTGTAGCGGTGGGAGGGGGGGGGGGGGGGGGTGGCAGCGGCACGCTTGGTAAATTCTGATAGTATGGGGAAAAATGAATTTTTATATCTTTCTTTCCTAACTTTGAGGGAAAGAATTGGCTCTTATCAAGCTGATCTTAGATATCTTTGATTAAGATGGTCTGATGTATTGGCCAAATTTTTAAAAAACTTTTACAAATTATACATACTGCCTCAACTAGTTCATCAGGCAGAGGCAGTTTTGTTAGAGCAATATTACTTGCTGTCTTGATAAGTGCTTAATCAATGAATTCTCAACAGGTAATACTGAATAGCATATTTGCTACAATTAATAGCAATTCTTAGAATGATCCTTTAGTATATGTTTACATCATATGTACCGGTATACAAATTTGAAGGTTAATGACAGACTATAGATAAGTAAAAAAAAAACAAAAAAGAAAACCCTTCCGCACATAAATGGTTTTTTAATTAAAATTCTACAGTACCACATATTTTTTATGTCAAAAATTCATTTTTCTCTTCATGTTTACCTTTTCCACACTTTTCACAACGATGTGGCTCCTGCTTGGCATGGATCAGCAAATGGCGTTTCAAATCACAGCGTTGTAAAAACTCTCTGCCACAATCATCACACTTAAACAAGTTAAGACTCTGCAAAAAGATATTTCTTGCTCATCCAGTGCACATTGTTGTTTTTTTATTTTATAAGGAAATATTTATGAATTGATGAAAATTTAAAAGGATATCTCAACTTAGAAGTTAATTACTGGTAAGTGAGAAAAAATTTCTGATTCTTTTATAAATAGCTAGCAAGAGAAGCAAGAGAAGAAAGTGTGATAAAAAACACGATTTATTAAAAGCTCTATGATAAATGATAATAGTTTCAAAATTGATAATTCATTTAAAGTTTAAAACAAACTATTATATAAAAAAATCTTCTTAAATTGAGCACTATTTATATATTTGTTCTTCCCATAAAATTTCAACTCTTGCTCATAAGATAAAAAGTGTTTAGACTAATTATAATTTTTTCCACTATAATGTTTCAGTAATTGTTAAAACCAAATTTAAAAAAAAAACTCACCTCAGGCTGTAAATTGTGAATTTTTCTATGCCTGGTAAAGTTTCCCATACGTGTAAAATTAGCATTGCATAAATCACACTTAAATAATTTGGCATGAGTTTTTGCATGCTTATTGCGCTCCTGTTTACTCTTGAATTCCTCATTACAGTCCAAGCACTTAAATTTTGATTTACCAAGTGACACTGTCTGATCAGCAGAAGACGATTTCAATGTCTGCAATGAACTAATCACATGATTGCTTTGTTTGGAAATTGGCAGTAAGTTTCTTGTTAATGTATCACTCTGGTGTAAAGGTTCCGTGAAGGCAGTTACTTCCTGGGAATTATTTAAAGATGTTTGGGTTAGATTTTGTTGAGTATTGCCATAACTTACAACAGATGCTGCAGTCACAGGAGGTCTCAGGGTTAACTGCTCTGTCAGTAACACACTGGAAATTCCTTCTGTGTTACAGTTGGGCTGATTCAGAATAGTGTTTACTGGTTGAAAGAAAAGATCATCTTTGCCAAACACTAATTCTGTTTGAGTTTCTTTAACGTCCACAGTTTTCATTATTCCTAATGTAGTTAGTGTACTCTGGTCAGTTGTGACATATCCCAAAGCAGTTAACTGACCATCACTTGTCATTAAATATAAAGATTTGTTAAAATTTTCACCAGCGATCACAGAATTAGCAGTTTGAGTAACTGGAAAATGATTAGTACTTGTTTCTAAAGAGCCTAGCCTGTCTCCAAATGACTCTATGGTACTCAAAGCTACTTGCGTCCCAGCACTACCAGTTGACAGTGAGTTCAAACTGAACCCTTCAGATAATTTGTCCTCTCCTTGCCTTTGATCTAGCTCAGTTGGTAGAATAATGGTGTCTTCGTGAGTGAGATCTGACTCTTTTCTAGGCTCATTGTCCATAGGTAAAATAAGAGTATCAGATTTGTGTAGTGCTTGTCTACCTTTTATAGAGGATATATCACTACCACAAAAAACAGACTCATTGTTTTCTGTGTCATTTTCCAAAGCTTCATCCCCACAGCCATCGCTAGCCTTTTTTAAACTGTTTTGCTCTCTAACAGCTATATCACTAAGATGAATTATGCCATTCTGGATAGATGCATTTTCTCTTTGATGATTTTTAATAAATAGAAAAATAGATTGTGGGATCTTGTCAGCTCCAATAATGGCCATTTCTTTTGTTTTTGAAGTGCATGCAGTATCTATTTGCTCAGTCATAGGTTGATTTATTATAGCATTATTGACTTCATTAATTTCTTCAGGCTCTGATTTGAATAAGCTGATTGTCGGAATGCTTTCAAGTGAAACTGATCCTTCAGAAATATTCTTGATCAAGTTGAAAGGCTTATCTTTTAAAGTTGACACATTTTTCAACAACACATGATCTCCTAAATTTTCCTCAAATAAATTTGATACAGAGACTTGCAAAGTGTCTGACGTGTCAAGAATCATGGTGTCTGATGAGGAAAGCAAAGGTCTATTAGCAAATGAAGATTCTGTGCCTGACCTTCTTAGATGTAATTTTTCACCTGCCTGTCTAACATCTGTGCTGTTAATACTGTCATTGTTTTTATTCGCATCATGTGGAGCTACGTCTAGAGCATTCAACAAGTCATTATTGGACTGTACAAACACTGGAATAACATTTAGGACTTGACTGTTGAGAAAAGAGGACATATCCACACATTGTGATGCTTTAGCGTTTGATGCTCTCACTTTTTCTTCTTTTCTGTTCACAACAGCGGCTGTCAATAGATTTGTACCAGCCAGATTGCCTAAAATGATAGGCTGAGTAATACAGTTACTATGAACCATTTTCGAACTATACATATTGATATTTGCATCACATACTGCAGAAGCAGAATATGTAGGCAAGCTTTGTACTAAAACTGATTGATTTTCTACTGAAGACCTGGATACATTGGCTACTGATGGTGCAATAGCAGTTTGGTCCACAATCATTTCTGAAAGTTGAGAATTTGATGATCCTGTTGGTAACTGTTGGCAATCTTGAATTATATTAATTTCAAGGGCAGAATTTTGCTCTCCCATGCTTTTTACAAAACAACTGGTTCATGGAATTAAGAAATCTATTTATTACCAGTATTAATTTTCTGAATTTTTATTTTTCTAAAAATTGTCTCAAACTGGTAGTTACTCTGTATAAACAGAATACAGGGTTGCCAGTAAGTTGTCAGACCTCATTTGTATTTTCTAGGCAGAACTTCAAGAGACCTGAAGGTTTGATGGCCTTATTTTCTCATTTTAAAAGTAACCTTTAGGTGTGGATCAAAAACACAATTTAAAAAAAAAAAAACGATATTACTTAAAAATAAATGCTATTCATAGATTCTGAATCAGAGCTTTCAAAATGGTGTGTCACTATGTATTAGTGTCACCTGCAGTGTCTGGGTGTGATCTGCAAAAAGTAATTGAAACTTGTGAGTCTTTTTACAAAAATTCAAAAAAACAAATAACAAGTATTTATAAAAAGATGGAGATAAGTTGTGTTATAATACATTTTTCATTAAATTTTATGCATATCTCGGTTATTCTCAGAGCTTGGAGGAAACTAAAAACCCTAAGTCAGTAAGCATATGAAATGTAGAGCAACCACAAGTTTGCACACCCCATAGTGCTGCATAGTGTGTAATGTGTTCTTTTATAAGCATTTGGTGTGTAAGTGATCAAGCTCATGATGGAGGAGGTAGCAAATGAGAGCTCATTATGTTGGCAAAGATATATAATACATTTAATTCTCAGATGATAACATTTCTCCTCGTGTTGTCAAACATAATATATAATATATATACAGTGGTTTATTGTAGATAAAAAGGTGCCTGTGACTGCCACTTTTATTTACATGGGTGGTGTTGGGGAGAAGAGGATGCCAAGTGAAATGGGGGGGGTGGAGAGATTCCTTTAGTTAGTTTTACATCATTCTATATTAAATTGGAGAACAACAGAAGAAATGCTGGTTGAAATTTAGGTACTCTTTACTTAGCTGTTTTTATAAAAATCCTTTTTTTTTTTAGTAGTTACTAACCAGAATTGTTTTTTATATTTTACATTTTTTATTTAATATTTGAGAATACTAATTTGAATTGAATTTTTAAAAATCAGTGCCAAAAAAGCACAGACATATATATATCTTTTTATTTTAAATGTGCTTTTATACCAAGAATGAAAATAGGCTAAAATTGAATCAAGAAAGAAGTTCCCTTGTGATAAATCCAAACAGGCTGCAATATTTAAAGGGGCTGGGAACAAGTTGGCCTCCACTGATCTAAAAAGTGTGTAAAAATATGAAAACCTTTATAAGATTACTGATATTAATAAAAAACAGAGTCAAAATTAGCATATTAATTTCTACACCAACATAGAAATTGCATTGTGTTAATAATTAATATTAAGATTCAGCAGTAGAAAAAATGCATTAGATTTATTCAAAGTGGCACAATTATTATAGGCACTTTGATGAAAATTTCAAAACATTTAAAAAATGTAAAATCACCACAGGTGTATAGAGGCAAAAGAAAGAATTACCAAAAAAAAAAAAAAAAAAAAAAAAAAAAAAAAAAAAAAAAAAACAAAAAAAAAAAAAAAAAAAAAAAAAAAACCACCAAGATCAACTTTCTGGCTCCAGTGGTTCAAAAGTTATTAATTTTTTAGTAAGGACATCAAAGCCATTTTTTCATTATGGGGTTTTCCTTCACATTTCGTGACCCTCATTTTGCATTTGTTTTCACGCCTATAACTTAATTATGCGATGAGTCAAAAATATAATATTTACAGTTACAGGAAACATAGTTAAATATGAGTTCTTCTAAATAAAGCCGCAAAATATATGTTTAGCTTTTGTTAATATTCCACAAAAATTATTTTTATTTGATAATTGTCCTTATTAAAATGTTTTAGATATGCTTAATCTGGGCTTACTTGTATTTAATTTATTAAATTTTTAAAAATATATTATTTTTTAATTTTCTCATTTATAATAAAACTAATTATATTTTTTAGATATTAATTTCAAATTTTCTGAGAAACTGTTTAACATTTATAAGCATAAACAAATAACACAGGGATTATTTGATTCATTTAGTTAATATTGGGGATTTTACTTTTTAATTTAACATTTTCTATATTTGTTTTTGTATTCCCATATCAATATGACCAAAAAAAATTAGTATATAATTTATTTAAGTAAATAAAGTTGTTTCACAAATCAACATGCATGGTTAAAATAAGTTCTAGTCATTTGCTTGAGGTAAGTACAAGGTTTTATGATTAATATTTAGTAATTTCTTAAGTAATTGTTGGATTATTGTGGCTGAAAGTGTGTTTTTTTCTTTGAGAATACTGAGGATTATATAATAATTCTCTTTTGAAAAATTGTGATTATATATAGTGTATTTCACTGTCACAGGTAAGTGAATACTTTTTGTACATTTTTACTTAATTTATGCCATAAGAATAATCATAATATTCATTTCAATATCATTAAATATTATGAATAATGGGTCCTACTATAAATAATTATTGGGGGTGGGGCTGGGCCTATACTTAAAATACTATAAAATGATACTATACCAGTATATAAAACCATCTCTGTGGCGCTACAGCCCATGTAGGGCTTTGACCTGCCTCACCACTTCCTTCCACTCAGACCTAACTAATGCCTTTCTTTTCCATGCTTGAACTTTCAGCTGCTGTAGATATTTTTCCACATCATCTATCAACCTAAGCCTAGGTCTGCCTTTGAGCCTTTTTCCTCTGGGGTATTGGTGATGCACCCTCTTCGTTCCTCTGTCATTTGGCATTCTCTCTAGGTGTCCTGCCCAGCGTAGCCTGCCTCTTTTTATTTCTGCTACTATTGTGGGATCCTGATATAGACTGTATAATTCATGGTTGGTTTGTATTCTCCATCCATATTCATCCTTTATTGGTCCATATATTTTCCTGAGAACTTTCCTCTCCCATGTGTTTCATAGGTTTTCTGCTGTTTTTGTTAGGGTCCAAGTTTTACTTGCATATGTTATAACTGGTCTGATTACAGTTTTATAAATAGTTTTCTTTGTTTCTCTTATAATGTTTTTACTTTTGAGTATTTTCTGACTACTGACATATGCCCTGTTTCCGGCTGATATTCTTTATTTTATTTCTCTTAGTTTCTTTCGTTTTCTGGTTTGAAGCCTATGACTGCACTGACTGCTTCTTTTTTCACGGCAAATCCTGTTCCTAGTGTTTTGGTGTTGTTACCACTATAAAATATGGTGTATTCTTTTGTTTTGAGGATGTCTGAATTTTCCATCAAATTTCTTCCAATGAAGCAATAGATATGTTATATTTGATCAGCTGATTTACAAGGTTGGCTAAGGCTCCTGCTCTAAACAGGCTTAGTACATTCCAAGTCGCAATCCAAAAATCATGTCCATATCCATGCATAGGTCGATTTCCATTGGTATCAGTCCGGGTTTTATTCTGTTGATTGGCTTTCGTAACAGTATATAAAACCAATAAATATAAATCTATTAATTGTAATAATAAGGCTTATTTAACCCAATACCTTTCTAATCATATTAAAAATATGTAATTGTGTTATTATTATTATTATTAATTTATTTGTTTTTGTTTTTAAATGAGTTATATGGGGTAATAGGCTTGATTTCCAGAGTAAATCAAGTTATTTACTACAGGAACGAGTATTACCCACAATAGGTAATTTTGGGACACGTGACTAAAATTGCAGGGTAAATTTCTGACCAAACCGTTGGGCCTAACCTAACATATCTTGGATATGTTGTAAATAATGCCATTGTATATAAAGTACCTTACAATGAAGCAATATATGCTTTCCGCAAAAAAAAAATAAATATGATAGAGTAAAATTAGCATTATTTTACCTTCAATTTTCAAAGTAGTGAAGCCCAAAAATTATTTTTGGGACTAAAAAGTCTAATGATAAAACAAAATGTCTACTCTAAGTTGTTGGCAGAAATATAATTTATATGCTGGGCTATAATTAGCAAAAAAATCGTAAATATGTGACTCTCATTAACTTAAAAAGTGGAGGTCGCCATTTTGACAACAAAATTCATGATACTCGGTTTTTGGCATTTCCCAGATCTTACCAAAGTGCCTAATTTTTATCTATTAAAAAATGTAGCTACTATTTGCACATTTGCGACAGTGTTAAAGTTAAACTTAGATAAAACTCTTGGGAAATTATAATTAATTATATTTTTTATAAGCAAGAAATGTTTCCTTGTTTTTGCAAAACTAAAGAATTCCATCTTGTGACTGTAATAGCAATGTCTGTACACATGTTTTTATTAAATTATTGAATGCCTTAGGAAATGTGAAAAGCGTGGTTTCATCATTTTGAAGCGCATGATTAAGGGTTAAGTGATAATATTAATTTAGCAATAACAAGGTGTACTATTATATTTTCATTACTGAAACTAATTATTCTTTAACTTCAATCAATTTTCTTTCTGGTAATAAGTAAGGTATTAAGGCTATGGGCAATCCATAAACATAAATAATATGATGACATTGACATGACGAATGGTGGCAATCGTTGCTCCTGCCACCAACTGTAGCCCTGAAATCAAAGACGACTGACCCATCTTCAAGGGCCAACGGCAAAGGATAAAGTACAGGTACCATAAAGCAGCGTTTCTAAAACTTTTAAATTTCACGGACCGGTGGACAAGTTTCCAAACTGCACCGGGACCGGTGTCAGATTTATTAATTACATTTTCTTTCTATTTAAACATCAATATTCATGCTCTCCGGACCGGAAACTTAAGGCTTGCGGACCGGTGCCGGTCCACCGTTTGGAGAATGCTACCATAAAGGACAGAATGAAAATGACACCTGAAAAGTTCAGTAACAAGTGCTGTGACTGAGTCTGAGAAAATATCAATGGCCAATGCAATAAATAGTATATTAAGTATTAAGAGAATGGTCCTCTAGGATCAGCCTAAATTGAACTTCTAAACTTAAACCAACTAATAACTAAAAATAAAGTAAACTTAGTCTAATTTTAATAATTAAATTTAAAAGCAAACCACGATTATCTAAGTTTAAATTTAAATAATAAAGAATTAAAAATAAGTAATCAGTGAAGTGACAGTTCAGTAGTAGTGAGTGAAGTCTAAATAATAATAACTAATAAAAAAGTATATTGTTTCGAAACCTTGATATTTCTCCAATTTCTTATTGATTAATTAATAATCTAATCAAAGATAAACAGAGCTCACTTCAGTACACTATTACTATTGACTTGGTATTAATTTATTACTAATTACAAAGAGAGTGATAGTGATAGTCACAACAGAACACATTCTGTTTCAGCGCTGCCACTCTATTTATTTTTAATTCCCAAGATTTTGGCAAAAATTTCCCAACATTTCCCAAAATCATGAAAATATTTAATAGTTTTTTTTTTTTTTTTAAGGATCTTGGGAATTTTTTTTTGGCTGTAAATCACTTGCCAGATTGCCAGTTAAGTGAAAATAATAATAATAAATCGTATTTTGATGACATCATCATTAATTTATATTTGGGCATATACTATTTTGACTTTTGGTTCTTAAAAATATAATCTTATTAAGATATAGAAGAAGAAGAAGTAAGAATTTTCCAAAATAAAATTGTCACTTGTTTAATGTATCCACATCATAACACGAAGTAAGAGTGACAGCAATCAATTCTACTAACGATTGAAAGGGACTCGTCAAGACTGATCGTTATAAATTATAAAGACTCAAATCTTTTACATGTTTCAAACTAACATACACTTTTTGCTTGTTCATCGAGTGATTTCCAATTTAAAAATAATAAATTTCGCTGTATGCATTAACATTTCTAATATTTTAACATATTTAGCAATTAAGGTCAATTTAATATTAATTGGCACCAAATTTGAAGCTCTGTGCGACACACACCGCACTTTTTCTTTTTAAACCAATACTATTAAATCATTAACTTTTTTTTAAAGTTGTATTTGGATTGTTTTTAATATTTATTGTTACGAGTTTAACTGTTTAAATATATTTATGGATATTTATCGCACTGACTTAGAGAAAGACTCAATTTTGTATTGTATTGAGCGTGAAAATGTGTTTAAATTTCTTACTGTTACTTACTGTGTTCAAACTATTACTATTAGAATAAGAAGGTTAAACTTAATGTAGAAATTAACAAGCGTCGTTTGCACTAAAGTTAAAGAATTTCCATGGAACTTTGCAAAATGATTAAATGATACAACTTACAACATACATGAACTACAACTTAAAATTTAAAAGATTTTATTTTTAATAGGCTCATGCTGTTTTAGGTATAGATATGTTGATAGCAACCTGAAGCTATTACTATTATTATTATTGTATTGTTAGAGACTATTATTACTATTATAACTATACATTAAAATTAACTTAATTAATACTTATTATAATTATAACTAATACTTCTACTATGACACCATCATGACATATGACTATGCCCTTTATGATATATGATTTATGATTATGACTATACTATACTTATACTGACTATAACTTATAAACTTTATATAGTATTAATTATTAGACTACCTCTACTTAAAAAAAAAAAGTACTACTACCTACTTAACTCTGCTACTACTAGTAACTAGACTAGACTATCAAATTTGACTTAGGTAAGCCTATTTCAATTATAATAAATAGCTTTTGTTTATTTGTATGCTGTAGGCTATATATATATAGTTATATAGGAGGTCCCAGCTAAAACTGAGGACGGCTTCCACAGCGTCTTTTGTGTGTTTATTATTAGTTGCAGTGAATTAGTAATTAGGGTTTATGCTTAGGTTAGGTTGAGGGATCGATTTAGGGTTCAGGTTAGGCATAGGGATTGATTTAGGGTTCAGGTTAGGCATAGGAGGGATCGAATTTAGGGATACATTCGTGAAATTCGATAAAATAGTGGCAGTTGTCCCCGTTTTTTACCGAAGTCCCTACTATTAGGGCCTACCAGTGCTTTTTTTGTGCCGGTACACACCGGTTTGGAGTACCAGCACCTTTTTCAACGTGGGGAAAAAAGTATTACTTTTCTTGTATTTTAACGTTTATTATTAATTTATTATATTATTAATTTGTTAACATTGAATTATTTTAAAATTGCATGCAAATAAGAATTAAAATATAAAATTCGAAACTGCTTTCCGCATACAGTTGTAATATTACGTCATTGGTTATTAACCTATTTCCGGTCATGGTTGTTTCAAAATTTGAATGGAATAATTAAGACTTAAAGAAATTAAAACGAGCGCAGTTAGAAATTGATAATTTAAGTACAGTAATAATTATTTCTTAGCCCACTTTGGAAATGAAGAAAATTTCTGAATTCTTTTCGCATTCAATCGATGTTCCGACTGGGACTTTACCGGTAAGTAAGAAAAACAGACTGACTGAAGAAATAACGGCAGAAGCCAATGTCACAGAAGAAACCCTAATGGAACTATCGGAACCAAAGCCGTCAGATATCGTTCTTGGTTCCTCTTTTACTTTTGAACAACTGCAGCCTGCAGATGTTGATTGGCCTACCTGCTGGGCTTTCGATCAAAGAAATTATTTCCTTGTGAAATATGATTGGCTATCTATCCATAATAAAAAACTTGGTTGTATCGCTTGCCGAAAAGTTGGCAATCTCGGAGTCGAGGCAAAGATGGGAATGAAGGTATCGAACGAATGGGCCGACAATAAAATAACTTACTTCGGTACTAATCGACAACAACAGCTTATGTCTTTAACTCATTCCCTCCGGCAGCGCTGCTTCCGGACTTAATTTATTTTCCTGAGAAAAGGGAAGCAACTCAGTTTTGAAATTGATATATATTTTTAAAATATTTTTTTTAAGTTGCTAAATATTATTTAATGTTAATGAATTAAGAACAAATGCAACAAAAAATGAATAAGGTTTAATATAAATATAACATTAGCGGGGGAAAAATAACGAACAATGGCCAAAAAAATCGATTTTCGGCACCTCCGACGAACACGTGGTACATATAGACGCGCCGTACTAAAGCACACGTAGTTTTAAAGTGAAACAAGATAAAAACTTCCGGTTTCTAAATTAAAATCACGCAGAAATCACGCCATAGCCGGAAATCTCGAGGGGTGCGAGATTTCATTGCTATTTTTAACTAAAAATAAGAGAGGTGTGTCGCTATGCGCCGGGAAGCATTTGGACGCATCAGTAGGAACCCCCCGAGGACGCATTTAGTCGCAACCGTCGGGAATGAGTTAAGAAAGAAATTATTCGATCATAAAGAAACTGCGGCACACAAAGCTGCGCTTAAGATCCTAACAGAAGCAGAGGCAGCACCTATTGAGAAAGTGTTGTTAAAGGCATTAACTCTTGATAAAATCGTAACTGCAAAGATTTTTCGTACAGCATATAAAGTAGCCAAAGAAAACCTATCGTTTCATAATTTCGAATCTGAAATAGATTTGCAAGAACTAAACGGAGTTGAGATGGGCCGTATTCTTCATTCAACCAATGCTTGCATAAATGTAGTGAATCACATTAGTTGTGAAATGAGAAAAAAATTGTTACAAGAAATTGTACGGTCGAACAATAGAATTTCATTGATCATCGAAGAATCAACTACGCTTAGCCAAAAATCGACTTTAATTGTGTATATTCGTGTTTGTCTTGCAGACAGTGGAATGACCTCACCAGTAAATTTATTCTTGGATTTGGTAGAACTCGAAAGTGTAACCTCAAATGGAATTTTTGCTTCTTTACTACACTGCCTTCATTTCTATGGGTTAACAGAAGACTTTCTAAGAAAGAACTTAGTTTCTCTTGCATGTGATGGAGCAGCTGTGATGTTGGGAAGCAAAAGTGGCGTCAAGACATTGCTAAAAGAAAAGTTTCCATCAGTTCTGGTTTGGCATTGTGCAAATCACCGACTGGAACTCTCCTTTGATGATGTCGTTAAACAAGTTTCAGGGATCAACAGATTTAAGGCATTCATTGATAAACTGTATGTATTTTATCATTCTTCACCCAAAAATTGCAGAGAATAGCAAATATGTGCTAGTTTGTTAGATGCTGAGTTGTTAAAAATTGGAAGAATGTTAAGCACGCGATGGGTGGCATCCAGCTTCCGTTATGTTTTAGCAGTTTGGGAAGATTTTGAAGTTTTGGTACAACATTTTGAAGAAGCAAAACTTGACTCAACCAGAGACAAAAAAGATAAATGCATGTATGAAGGTTTGCAGTGAAAGATTACTTCTACTGAATTTGTACTAGACCTCGGATTGATATGCGATGTGCTCCAAGAATTGTCAGAGTTAAGTTTGGATTTTCAAGAGCGCAACATAGTCATCTACAGAGCAGATAAAAAAATCACGGCTGTTATACAGATTTTTGAAGAAAGGCAAATTATTCCAGGCCCCTATTATAAAATTGCGGCCACTGCTGTAGATAGTAACCTTTTCAAAGGAGTTTGACTTCACTCCAAAAACTGTACCAGTGATCCACCAATTGACGTAAAAGCTTTTTACAAAAAACTACAAGAATCAATTGAACAAAGGTTGCTTTCTAGTGAAGATGCTGAGTTGGCATATTGGGCTCGAGTGCTCGATACAAAGCAATGGCCGGGCAACATTGGTACTCACTTAACATTTGGCGAAACAGAAAAGAGAAACTTGTCAACAAGATTGCAATTAAACGAAAGAATAATGATTCGCGGATTTCGTGAATATCTCATCAAAAAAAACATTCCGGATAAACTACTTCCTTTGCAAATTGCTCTCAGTACAATCCCAATTTCTTCAAGTGAAGCCGAAAGAGGATTTTCGCAAATGAATCTTATCATCACCCCGACAAGAAGTTCATTGATGACAACAACTGTATCTTCACTGTTACTTATCAGATTAGTTGGACCACCACTTGTACGTTTTGACCCTACAAGATACGTTGATTCATGGTTGCTTAGAGGCAGACATTCAGTCACAGATACCAACAGCAAAGAACGCAGTCCGGAAATGTCAGATGAGAACTTGATCAAACTTTGGAATTTATTATGAATAATTTACCCGGTATTCAACATTTATATTTCATTTTTAACAGGGTTCTTTCCTATAAAACACAAGAGAACTTAACACAATTTTTTTTAAGTAAATCAAGAATAACTTGAATAAGTTGTTAGTTAAATTTTACAAATCATAAAAAATGTATACGTTATACTTATAAAGTAATAATAAAACAATTTAAGTTGGTTAATTATAAAATAAAATTGTTTTAGACATTTAGTATCTTTGCAGTTGTGATTTAGCTTGCATCGAGGTGCGAACTGGTAGTTAAACGTTAGCCAATCCATCACTGAGTACCGGCACCTATTTTTTTTTACAAAAAAAGCACTGGGGCCTACCATTACTATCAGATTAGTATTAGCTTAGGTATTGTATATCTTGCTGAAGCTGTGTTTTTTTTTATAGTTATAACAAAATATTTATAATTTGTCTAAACTTTTTTTTCTGTTGTATTTGAATTTGAGTGGTGACCATTATTCGAAATTGACATAATAAATTAAGTAATTGATAATTGGTTGACGAGATTGAAATTTTATTTTAAAAACAAATAAAGTTCAGTTTTCTATTTGATCTGCCTTATAACATATTATCCCTATGCCCTATAATGCCTATATATATTAGACACATTTACTGTACAAAAAATGAATAATAAATAAATTTTATATATTTATATGTGTACCGGGGTATATGTATATATATATAATTATATATATATTATATATATATTATATAGGCTATACCATATATAATATATACACCAACACATATTTTAGCGTCTATACCAGGGGTCACCCAACTTTTTTCACCGCTGGCCAGATAGTTGAGATAGCGGATAAAATTACAAGCATGGTCTGTATAATCATTATTTGCAATACTTGCAAGCCAGAATGAAAGCTCTAGGGAAAAAAGACGAAAAACTAGTTTTAATATTCCATGTTAATGATGGGTGAGTAGCGTGCACAATGTACAAAAAACAAAGATATCCAACATATTTATTTACTAAAATGTTATCAAAGAAGGTGACGTTAGCTAAAAGAATCTCACAAACTAAGAAAAAAATGGTTAGTGAGACTTGTGAAACTGATGTTTGGCTTTCAAGATATCATCTGAATCATCAATGCATGGTTAGAAATGCTACATCCAATCAAAAGAATTGGTTTCGAATGTTCATCAATCCAGGAAGGCAGTATTCCAAAGAATCTGCTGTATGGAGAGTTGGCAAGATGTATTGGACGACCGTGGCTGCAATTTAAGGACATTTTCAAAAGGAGCATGAGGGAAGCCAACATAGAAATCGACCTATGGGAGATCATCACTGAGCACAGTTCCAGCTGGCCAACAGCAGTATATGAATGAGTAAAAAAAGACATTAGATTCGTGAAACGAAGCCCTTGCAACAAAAAGAGAAGTACAGAAGACCAAATCTAAACAGAAGTCAAGGTTCTCACTTGAGAAGTGCAGCTGAGACTGCCATTCCAGGATCTGGTTCATAAGCCTTTTGATGATGTGTTAATAGCTACTCTATCGACTCGCGAAGACAGAATTATGCCATGCCCGTGGCGAAATTTTGAAACTTATCCACCGGTTCGTGGCACCTTAAAGATTTGGGAAACTTTCATTGATTGTTTATCATGACAACGGCATGGACCTTTTATAACTAGTGTTTGGCAATGTGGGGAAACAAAATGATTAAATTAAAGTTATTACAGGATGGAAAAGCAAGTAAATTTCTTAAAAAACAAACTAAAAAAACGAGTCTCTTACTCTTACATTTTTGTTAATGCCAATTATTTATAATTACCGGTACAAATGTTATTATTAAATTTAAGGTTGTGTGCCAAATTTAAGTTCTTCTATGGGGCACAGCTTTTTTATATTTTCTCGTGGGCTTGTTTCTTACTTAACAATTTGTTCCGATTTTGAGACATGCACAGCAGAGCCGTCATGCTTCTTTACCATTTAGAGACTCATGCTACTTTTTGGCTTTGTCTTAGTACTACCAGCATTCATAGATGATAGTTGATTATTTTTACACCACAGCTATGGCCCCCTCAAATATTCAAAGTCACCTTCAACTGAAGGAGTTGCAGAATCCACATGATGGCTCTGCATGTCTCTAAAAATTAGCCTTTTATTATGACCACCCACCTTTTCCATTTTTATTCTAGATAGAGCAGCACAAACTTTTTTTTTTTTGAATTCCCAAATGTAAACTTAGCAATAGAAAATTAATATTTGAATCACTATGAAAAATGAGCATGATAACAATCAATAGTTCTCTGATGCATAAGCTTCATTTGTTAAGGGGCTTGAAAACATTTAAGTAGGCCTATTGCCAATTATGTGCTTTATTTAAAAATATTAGTCAAAACCCATTTTTAAAAAAAGTTTTGTGCATATAGTTGCATATGTTTATGGCGTAAAAAGGATATGTAAGGATAAATATCTATCCTATACAAAACAAAAATAAAAAATGTGTATACATACTTAATTTTTTATTTGTTGAATGAATTCCTCAAAGTATAAAGTCTAAATAAATTACATCAGGACAAAGTAAGATTTTAAACAATTTAATTTTTAGCAAGAAAAAAATATGGAGATGTGTAGAAGTAGATTCAAACTTTAAATATTTTTAATGAAACATACTTGTTTTGGTAAATGCAAAGAGAATGCGCCATGATTTTTCCCATGGCCATAAAAATAAGGAATAATATTTATAGCCAATACTAGTGATACTGATGTGAATAATGTGATTAGTCTCGACCCTAAGCCTTAGACTAAAGCTGACACATCCAATGGGCTCAATGGCATGGCTATAAATAATATTCCATAATTCTAAATCTAAGCATTAGTTTACACTCAGCAATCACTGCAGCAGTGAATTTTAATCTGCCTGTGTGTCTTTGTTTTAAAACCATACCGGTACTAACAGGCTTGAGTTTGAGCCTATGCTCTTAAAGTCCCAGTTAGTACATTGGCAACCAGCTCCATCTGCTGGACTCTCCTATATAACATTGTCATGATGTAGGACTTCCTACCACCCTTGTACTTGTATCCCCTGCACCATGTGCTACTGACTCCAGGGCCAGTGTGCAGTATCAGTGCCAGCACATCGGATCCCTGTTGTTGTCTAGCCTGTTGAGTATGCGTTAGTGGTGCAGTGTTTGATTCTCAAATGAGTCAACAGACTCTGATTTCAGCATCCCCGTTTCCACCTGGGGTCTTGTCTGCTAGGAAGCAATAGGTGTTATTGAATACACCTCTGGCCTTCGTGCTTTATGCCTATTGCCCTTTGTTCCAAAAATCTCTGCCAGTTAGTTTTTGATACAGGGATAGTGAGTGGTGTTACTGGTTTGGACTGGTCAGCCCCGGTTTTTGCCAGAGTGTCCGCGTTTTCATTGCCCTTCACGTTATTGTGGCTTGATACCCATTGCACTGTTATCTTACCTCAGATTTTCTTGATCTTACCCATGCCATCCAATCTGACGTCAATCAAGTAGGTGTTTGTGCTGTCTTATTCAAGTTCTCGAAAGCAGATACCCTATTGAATTGGATAAATCACAAAGTCAAGTCTCTCAAACTCCAACCTCTGCAGCGTACTTTGCACACTTTCCAGTGCCTTGTGAAAAGGCTCCAACTCTGCATCGAAATTCAACGCTGCAGTCCCACAGGGCCCTGAACGTTCATTATTAGTTGGCACTCCAATTGGAAAAACCCAAAACCCACAACCAGTGGGCACTCTTCTCTACAATCAACCCCTTCAGTATCCTGCATACGCTGATGACATAGCACTGTGAAGGAAAAGTATTAAAGACGTATCAAAGCTTATATTAAATTAGAAGACGCATCACTACACGCAGGGCTTGAGGTTGTCAACCAAAAAACAAAATATATGACTATGATAAGAGAAAAACAGACTGATAAAGCCATTAAAATTAGAAACCAGACTTTTGAAAAAGTAAATCAATTCAAATACCTAGGATCTTTATTAAATAAAAGAAAATGAATTACTAACAGAAATAAAAGTAAGAATATCAGCTGGAAACAGGGAATATGTCAGTAGGTAGTCAGAAAATACTCAAAAGCAAAAACATTACAAGGAAAACTATTTATAAAACTGTAATCAGGTAAGATACGCAAGTGAAACTCAGACAATAACAAAACAGCAGAAAACCTATTCAATACATAGGAGAGAAAATTTCTCTTGAAAATATGTGGAACAGCAAAGGATGAATATGGATGTAGAATATAAACAAACCAGGAATTGCAGTCTATGTCAGGATCCCATGCAGAAATAAAAAAGGGTAGGCTATGCTGGACAGGACACTTATAAAGAATGCAAAATGACAGTGGAGTAAAGAGGATACATCAACAAAACTCCAGAGGAAAACGGCTCAAACTCGAAGGCAGACCTAGGCTTAGATGGATGGATGATGTGGAAAAAGATCTACAGCAGCTGGGAATCCAAGCATGGAAAAGAAAAGCATTAGTTAGGTCCAAGTGGAAGTAGCGAGGCAGGCCAAAGCCGTACATGGGCTGTAGCACCACAGGGATGGATCCTTACTCCACAATTCTTTCTCTGAATTTGGTGGATCCGTTCGGAAAATCTTTCACCGTGGTTTCCCCAAACCCTTCAATTGTCTCCAAGGGCTGCCACTTTCTAAACATGTGACAGGCCTGCGTTTTGTCAATGCTGTGTCATGCATTCAAAGCCAAACATTTTCACTACTAAGATGTCTAGTAAGAAAAAATTAATAAATTTCTTTGAAGCAGGCTTCAAATATTAAGAAATAATAATGGTCAATGTGAATGCTACATTATTTATGTTCAGTTATGTCACATTTATATATAATATATATAGACATTGGTGCCACCCTACTTCAAAATTACCTATATAATAATATATAACTATGTGTACTTATAAATGGGGATTTTAATTTCTGCTGATATCAATAGGGTGTGGTATGGTCAGATATGCAAAGCATTTGAGAGCTGCTTACCAATTTTAATAAATTTTATACATTTTTTATCTTTTAAAAAAAGTATTTTTATTTATTAGTAATAATAAAGATAGATTTACTATTGGTGTATTTTTATTTTTAAAAGATCTGGATATTTTATTATTTTTGTTTATGTATCATCATGTAAATCAAAAACCAATTACTAGTTTTTAAACCAACAACCAGAAATCTATTTATCATTTAACATCCTCTACTGGTATTATAAATTATGTACTCCAACCTAAATTGTTAGTACCGGTAGTAAACTAGTAAGTAATGAAAACAGAACATCAAACTTGTTTTGTTTTTTTTAAATTCTCCTGTTTTACCAATAATATAATGTTTCTCTAAACTGATTTCATTATTGAGATTTTTTTTATTTAAAAGGTTTAAATGTATCAGTTCGCAAGAAACTATGGTCATTATGGCTGGTTGCTGGGGGCTGTTGGTGCCACTGTCACAACTATGTATCCCCATACCTTTGGCCTTGAATATCAAAAAGAACAATTGACAAGTCATTCACATGGAAAACCTGCTGCGGTGGATAGCGAGGTTCTCTATTTAGCCGAGGAGGTAGGTTATAAAAATAGTTTATTTTTAGTTTCAGTATATGTAATTACGGGTACCCGTACAGAGAGTTCTTTGTCAACGCTACATGCCTTGAAATTAATATGGTATTTTAATAACTTGAAAATCAACATGAAAATGAAATGAAGTAAGCTGTAACTTTTCCAAAATTATTTTTCCATAAAGTGATGATTTTTATTATTACAGATAAAACAGGATCTGAATATAAAAGAAAATGCTTTTGTGAAGCATAACCTGCTTGACTTTGTTCAAACAGATAGACCGGATTTCACCACTAAAGGCTTTATGTCTACGAAATGGGGTGCAGTTGTGGGAGTTCCAATATTTTTTTCATCCCAGTCTTTCGAAAAAGCTAATGAAAACAGTAAAATCTTCAATTTAGATTTGAGTACTGTGGAAGGACAAAAGATTATGGAAACTTTCAGATTAAGTAGAGCTGCTAAAAAGTTTGCATTAGCTAGAGAAATTAATAAGTCAAATTCTAATAAAGTTTATGTTGACTCAGCTGGTTTGGGTTTAGCTATTACTAGTTTTTATGTGATAGCAGATTCACTTGCAAATTTGTTCTCTATCAGAGGAGCTAAAGTATTATCATTTCTTACCATGGCTCCTTTATTTACAGTGTGTTATATCAAAATGAATGATAAGTATAACAATTACTTTGAAAAGAATTGTGACAAAAAGGCTGCGAGAATTGATAGGGAAACAGCATGTGGTGGAATTGAGTACTACACTGCTCTTATTACCAGAAAAGAACTTCTTCAAAATTTAGGGAAAGATAATGTACCTGAGAAAAAAGATATTATATTTGGTGAAAAGTGGCGAAAGTATGACATGACCTTGTCTGAGAAAAAGACCTTTTTAATTCGAACCATTAAAGAGTATTATCCTGATGAAGAATTTGTTGAATAACAGGTGTTAAAATAGATTTGTTAAGGTTTAAATCTAACTAATGCAAGCCAAAAAAAGCATAAAAATTAATGTTAGAGAAAATTTGAAAAGAAGAATATCATACATTTAAATTATTTTATAATTTAGGCTTACACAAAAATTATTCTTCATTATTTAGGATATGTGCATAAAATTGTATTGTAATATCTTGGAGGACATAAAAATGTTTTCTCCCTGAACTTCATTAGGAAAGTAAAATAAAAATTATAAAACACTTGTTTGTGACTTCCTTATGTTTCCATTTGTTTAGTGTACAATGTTAAATATTGACTAAGTGAGGACAGATTCAGCTTTTTTGTCAAGTTATTGCCAGGTATTCAACTTTTTGGAAATAGCGCTGGTTCCTCCTTTTGTACCGGTACTTTGTACTAATGGAATTACAAAGCCTAAATTAACCTTAGGCAGGTCAGGAAGTAATAATGATTTTAGGTAAAATGTGTCATTGTTGTTATGAAATCTAATGGGGTGCAGTTTTAGTTTATTTTGAATTATATGTCATTTGTTGAAGCCTCCAATAAATTATAAGAGATTGATTGAAGGTGAAATAGCTGATGTTTCACAAATCCTCTTATGTGAAATAAATAAAATTACATTACCAGGTATGTTTTTAGAAAAGCTATTCATGGGTGCTTTGAGAATTTTAAAACTAAAGGTTAACATTTTATTAGACAATATTTATTTACATAGGAAAAAAATTACAAATAATTTCTTAAATTAAAAAAAAAAATACTTGCGTGAATTGTAGAACTGGAATTAAATTTATAGATTCAGGATTTCCTTCGTCAATCCAACCATGCAATAATATTAAATATATATCATTGTAAAATTTCTGTTAATGCTCAAAAGTTGAGATAGATGTTAATATTCTGTTGTTTTTTAACTAATACTACTCAATAAAACAGAAAAAGCCTTTTTGGCAACATATTAACTTTTTTTTTTTTTTAGAAATCATTACAAGCTTGATGCTAATTATAGTTCAACTCTTCAGTTAGCAGCTACATTAGATTTTCTTTTTATATTGACAACATCATTGTCTGGCCAAATCATTCATTTTTTCATTAAGCGTCACTCTACTTACTGACTACACTAATTTAATTGATCTTTTGAACTTTATTTTAAGCTTTCTGCATTTTTTTTTAAAAAAAAAAGGGGGTGCAATGAGCATCTTTTAAAAAACAACATTTGTAAAATTTGCAGGAATAATAAATTTTTTCATATATATCTTTTTAATAAATGTGATTCTTACCCTAAATAAATTTCAAAGAAACAATCTACATTCATGATTATAGTGAGAAGAAAAGTTCTTTGAAATCACACTATACTTTTCAAACATATACACACAAATTACTCCATATATCCCTCAGTGTGACATAACATAACTTCACCTCTTACCTAAGAGAAAATAAAATTATTTGTTAGTGGGTTCCTCATGGGGGAGGGGGGTGTCTTTGTGTGACATAATAAAAACATTTAAACCTCTTTCACAATGAAACTTTCCTCTGACAACTCTATTTTGTTTTTTTACATCAATCACTTAGTTGTAGACATTTTACATAGGAAAAATTAAGATCTTTAAAAGTTCTTAGTAAATTAGTGGTTTATTATACAAATGAGAATGATGGATGAATGCAATGGGGGCAAAATGTTTTTAGCAATACACAATTGTTTTAACAAAGCAAACTACTTGGCAGTCAAATTCATTTTCCCAAAGGATAAGCAGGAGGAAAATTTAACGCAGCAATGATCTGTATTTGTTTCTAAAATGTAACAATTTGTCTTTTAAAGAAATTATTGTTCACAATCGGTGAAATTGTCTAGAAAATTAATTAGTTTAAAAAATTAATTGAAAATAGGTGACTACTGAATAAAAAAAATATTAAATCCCTAACACAAATTCTTAATAAAAATAAAGATTACACATTCTTATTAGTTCCCATTCACAAGATAAAAATGGAAATGTATTGAAACCTAGAGGCTATGATTAGATAGGATCATTCCCCCCCCCCCCCATTAAAAGGGACAGTGGCATGGATGAGTGTGGTCATCAAACATACAAAATTGAAAGTTTGGAATGCAGGCTGATGAGATAGGTCTTGATGAATCCAACATTTCAATTCTAAGGCATATTAATTCAAAAGGGCATTTTATATTCAAAAAATTAATAAACAACAGCAATTAGGGCCTAAGGTCAAGACATCTCTTTTTAGAAGCTGTTACTTAAAATTGACTTGGCCTTAAACCCATTTATTTAACGCTACAAAAAGCAATTTTTTAAAAATATACAGAGACAATATTAAAGAATTTAAAAATACAAGATGCAAAATAAGCTTCATAAACACTTTCTTCCCATTTAATGATTTAAGCTAGTAATATTTTCAAGAATGGGTACTAAAATTCATATTACGGATCATCAAGGGAGATTCAGATTTACTATAAATCATGTGAATTATCATTCAGCACATCATATTTTGCATCATTCTTTCTTTACAAGACATGACAATTATAAATAGAATTACATTTATTGTAATAGATGTTTAACAGTCACAGACCATCAATATTATTATCTCAATTCATACAAATTGTTACAAATGTACACGCACCACAAGCATCATTTACTGATTATTTGCTGCATTGTGGATAAATTGACATCCAAAAAATTTTTTTTTAAAATCAAAAATGGTTTTTTTTAGTTTGAAAGTTTTAAAACAGTCTAATTCTATTGTATATTAATGGAATTCCTCAATAGTCTAAAACAGGAAAATGTTGCAGTAAGGAATTATAATTCAGTTACAGATCTTTCTATTCATACAAATCGCTTTTGTAATAAGTAATTCTAAGAATTTAATTTTTTTAAAAGGCTTATTAATGGCATACTAAAGTTGTTTTCACTGTGTTATGAATAGGGAATAACTGCCTAACAAAATGAGTTGTGTTCATAACTATTTTGTTTATTATAAAGTACTAGACAAAAATCCAGATGATTTGAAATACGGTACTAAGTAACACTACCTGTAATATTTGTGTTTTATTGTAATTTTTAGAAATAGTTTACTTGATTATTATAATTTAAGTTAGATCCTATTCCGCCACTTATCCCAGATTATTACTTTTATAGAAAAATTCCTCACCCTTTAGAGCCCTTTTTTAAAGGTTATAAAATATAAAAAGTAGTTCTCTGAACTTAGCTTTAAATTTAAAAACAATAAATGGTGCTCAGTCTTATTTTTTTCACATTGTAAAATTTTTTTGTTATTTCCATGTTTTTTTTTCTGATACCGGTAATAAAAAATAATGTTGGGTTTAAAAATCAGAACAAGATTGCATAAGTAATCTGTGTCATAAGTTTTTATGAAAATGGATTGCAGTGAAAGAACAAAAACAGCTAATTTCTGCACATAAAAAAATTAAATAAATTGTTATATGGAAAAATATATGCTTGCTCTCCTAACTTACTTTTTCATCCACACATTCAAAATTAGCTTAGTTTTGTTTAGTTATTTTCTTCTTCCTGCAAACTGAGTGGTGGTGATTATCAAATGCAGATTGACTAGCTTTGGTAAACTCATCAGTGGTACATTTTCATAATCATTTTAACTGTATTTCGTAAGTCCAAAAATGCTTCAAGTCTCAATTTGCTATCATCCCATTACTCAGAGTTGCTCCGACATTTAATTAATAATTAAAATCCAGATGAAATTAAAAATAATAAAAACATATGGGATATATGCTTTGAACAGCATGATCACAGCAACATTATTTCATTACCAGTTAATGTTATGCAAAAAAAAATAAAGATACAATTATGTTTCTGAGGCAATGGAAACATTTTGGTAATAAACTCAAGAGAAACAGGTTGAGGAACTTAAGAATAGTGAAATAAATTAATATTAATGGGTGACATAAGTATAACTTCTGGGAGGTGATCTTTGACCCTCAGGCACTGGAACATTTAAGAAATCCCAGATTAAAATAGTGTCGTCATGAGAACTGCTTACTATTTGAAATTCATCAAACTGCAAACGGAAAACTCGGCCCGAGTGCTCCTAAAGAAAGAACAGAAAGAAACATATTGAATTCAACCTTAATGCAATTATATGAGCTTTGACACTCAAGATGTTTTCATTCACACTTTGAGGCTATCAACATTTCAATCAAATTTTTTTTCATCTCCTCTCCAATCTGTCCATTTATGATAAGGAGCCATCGCAAAGTCTTATCCACTTTCAGATATACATTCTTAAATTATATTCTTAATTCAACTCATAAGCTTAAGTTGTATAACTATACCATCATACATTTTTGAGTTTTATAAACTCAATTTGATTATGTGAAAAAAGTTACTTAATATAGAGATCATAGTAATAAAAGTTAGATGTTAACAGTTACTAAATATTGCTCATAGTAATAAAAGTTAGGTTACAACAATTTTCAACTGAAATAACACCACCCCAGATTCAAATTGATTATCTAAAAAACAAAAGTTACTTGACTTTTTATTTTATTTTTAGAGAAACCTGTTGCTGTTCCAAAGTTCATATCTCTCTAACAGTATTATAACTTACAACTAGTGTCCTTAGACAGAGTGTAGCTGCAGGCGCCCTAGGATCTAATGCAGCTTGTAGATCCCATACCTTGATTTTACTGAAAGTTAAAGATAATAACACTAATAATAATTTGTCTGTGTCAAATACACTGTGTGATTACATTATCATAAGTTAAACATTTCTCCGACTTAGGTGCCCTTGTTCTCGTGATTTAACTTAAGCAGTTAAAATTTATTTAAACTTTATTTTTTAATCAGTTAAAAAAAAAAATTGAATACCGGCATGTATTTTCAAAATTGAAATCTGCATGTGGAAGAAAGGCCTATCCAACATTACCATCACAAATAGTTGTTTTTTTGTGTGTCCAAAATATGTTTGTTAGTATATACATTCCTAAGTTTTCTCTTTTCTTATTTTCAATAATGATTTATTCTTTCCGCCAAGCCCTTAAATTACATCCATACCCAGACCTCTTATCCCCGGGGGTTCAAGAGTAGTTTTTAGCTCTCACAGATTTAGTTTCAAGAAACGGGGGGGGGGGCACAACGGACAGGCGCTGGTTTGCAATCAAACTACAAGTTGTGTCAGGAAATCCACATAACTAAGTTAACAAAAATAAATATACAGGATTTGTTTCTCAAGGATGAGAAAAGGTGTTAGGAAAACCAAATAAGCACTGATTACACAGAC